GTCTACAATTAATCTTGTGCGTTTATCGAAATCTACATTTTCTTTATACGTATTCAACTAATAAAAACTCGGGATCAATTAAATATTTTTATTATTCATTTTTTTATTATATTTCGTTAATTATTTAAATAGTTCATTTTTTTATTAAGTCGACTCAATGAAATATTTATAACGGTAATGTAATCCAATTTTCTAATCTATATATGGATACAGATAATCCACAGATAGTTGAGCTGTTCGTTAATTAGTAATTACACGCGTTATCTGTTGATTCCGATTGAAGATAGCTACTGTGAAACCTTCTCTGCAGATATCTGGTAGATGCAGGTGATTTTAGTCGGACAGCATTAAGCTAGGATATAGACCGAGCTTGTATTAGAGATGGGGATGATTTTGGTGATCCTTAGGTTTAGCCGACTCAGCAATACAGCTGTACCTACGACTAATTCTCGTTTGCATAGCTTACTTTGTATTAACAAACCAATTTGATACATCTAAACATCGAATCCAATTTCATGTAACAACAGTATTCTTTATTTATTTAATAAAAGCATAGTTTTTTTGTTAGTACGAACTTCGAAATGAACATTTAATAGTTATTTAAAATAAACAATGAAAATCTAGAATAGGGATTTTTACTATCTATTTTTGAATAAGTCATTAAAGAAAGTAGGTCCTCGTTACGGCGTGATTCGTTTTTGCGACAAATTTTTTCCTCACTGCGCCACCTGACGCGGTTTTATTGAGAAAGGAAGAGGAAAGGAGAAATAAAAAAAAAATAATACATGGTATACGTGTTTCGTCTTTGGTTCCGTATACAGAGCGGAGGAAACGGAAAATCGAAAGTGCTTCGCCACCATTTCCGGCGGCCGCTCTTTCGCTCCCTCGTGGCGCACCTCGGGCGTTGCTGTCGAATGCAAAAAAGAGGAGAATGAAATATCGTGTCTGCGAGCACGACGCGTGAAATTCTTCCTTCGAAAATAGCTTCGATATACGAGACGTTCGGTTTACATATAGTTGTAAATCCTTTCGATTTAGGTGGCACCGCGAGAATAACAATTTTTCCATCGGCGAATTACTACCTTCAGCTCGCCCATTTATCTGTCCTCCCTTTCCACTTCCTGCCGTTATTTCATCAGTTTTTCGCTCGTCCGATCGCTCGAATAGAAATGACAGTTTCGAGAATTGTGTATAAAAGTACAGTCTTCCCATCGAATCTAGTGAATATCGCGCGAAAGGAAACAGCATTATCTCCTCTGTCTCCCCGTTGCTACTTTCAACACACTTTCCGTCTTGTTACTGACGAAAGTAATATACAGGGTGGACCACGAAGCATGAGCAGCTTTAAGGCGCTTAATTATTTTCCCGTCAAAGGTTTAAACGGAAGTTCTTCTAGTTGAAATAATATGGTTGAAGGAGAGCATTAGGATGATTTTATCAAATTTTTTGTCAATCCTTTTTACAGCTGAATAATCTAATCGTAAACTGATCACGCCTCGCGATCCACCTTGTAGAAGCAAGCCGTCGCGTCGACTTAAGGTGCGCTGCCAATTTTTCAGACCTCGGTTTGTCGATTTTCAGATCATTCCGAACTTACTGTCCATTCGTGTACGCTATGATTGGGTTTGATAAGTTTCCGCGAAACTAGAGTAGTCGCGCGGGAGTTATTCGTATGTAGGACGTCGCGTACAGAAAGTTGGGAAAATTGGAAACTTTCAAAATACGTTGAGATACAATGATCTCCGAACAGAGATATCACAATAAGAAATCGATTCTCATCCTCCTCTCACAATTTTTTTATTTTCGAATACACGCCATCGAATAGAATACGAAGTTTATACAAAATTTCAAGACAAATACTCTTACTTAAAATGCAAAACAAACGTAATTCCAAATATTCGTTCTCTTGCTTCCTATTTTTATCGACCTTTTCCTTAACTCTGGATAGCCCGTGCACCAACACGTGCAAAGATTCTCTTCTTTCTCTTTCCTTGCGGGGATTACGAAAAATCCTAGTGTGTACGCAAACACAGTCGCGTGCACGCACTCCGTGCCTCGCGCGGTTGTGATGATACTAGTGCATATAGTGTTATCCGTCGGTTTGTGGGAGTGGCAACACGTGTTCCTCATGTGTGTCAACCCGCAGTCGTGGCTGTGGGACGAGGAACGGGAATATCGGCCCGATATCAGCCTGTACGAGTACTCATAGAGGCGGGTTGCATACATATCGCCGGTTTGGTAGTGCCGCGTGGCACGAACTGCACTAAACCCTTACAAAACCCGAGTAAACGCGTGTCCCTCTGTGTGGTACTTCACTCCGGAAGGCATCGAGCGGCTTTTAGCATTTTCCAAACGTGGTATATAATCTAGAAATTCAGATAAAATTATTTAATTTAGAAATAAAATTATTAAAATCTACACGTAGAATTTTACTACTCTGGATGTAAAATTATAAAGTAGAATTTCGTAATTTATAATCGTAACTATTTCAACATGCAAATTATTCTACTGCACTCCACATAATTAAACTCCTGTGTAGTAAAATTTTCTAACGCATTTTCTGAATGCAATGTTTCTTTTACTATTTGTAATCCAGACTGAATTTAAAAACACTTTTTTCACGCTCCATTCCGTCCCTTACATCTTGGCTACAAAGCAACCTTAATTCTACTTTCTCGAAATCATTTACCACGTGTTCGCTAATAAGAATGCCGCAGATTCTGCGGGAAAAGCTTCATTAAAAAGTTGCTTAACTACAAATTTTTCCATGCATCGTTATGTGGTAGCGCGGGCATAAAAAGTGTTATTGTTCTCGATTGTTAAACTCGAGAAAGTACATAATTGTTTATTCAGCGGAGCGTAGTTTGATTGCTAGTTTCGAGTGTAGAACCACGCCTCGTTATAGAGAGAAATTGATACGATACAAAATTTTACACAACGCAGCACTGGGGAACTTTTTTAAGTGTGTGCCTAGATTTGTTGTCTAAACAGTTTACTGAGCAAACATTCTATTAAACGGAGTGTGTGCGAATGGTCAGAATTGTTTAGCAATAGAATAGTTTCGAGAAAAGCGACGAAAGCTCGTTTCCCGAATAAAATTCGATGCGCTTTGTACAAGTGCAATGAGACGATACGACGACGACGCCGATGTGATGAAATTGCATTCGGAATCCTTATGAATTGTTCCGTGACATAATTACATGGCCGTTACTAGCATTAATTCGTTTGCGAACTCGGCATAAAGGAAAATCGTGCGCGAGAAAAAGAATGAAACGAGGGATAGAGTGGAACGTGAGGCGTACTATAGAATTAAAAACGATATTTCGGTTTCATTGATTTTTGCATTACCCTCCTTTCGCTGTGGCGTTTCCGCTTATTTTCCTCGTTGTTCGTCGAGCGCATGTACGGGGGACGTAGCAGATTTAAAATACATTTGTTCGACTCTCGAAAGCAATTTTTTCCAGGACGCGTACGAGTGTAGATTACCGTAAATGCATATGCGTGATGAATTACTGGGCGGTGAACGAACGATATTTCTGCGTTAATATATCCAGTCGCCTGACCGTGGTGAATGCGTGCGAGCGCGGACGCACGCACCCACACGTATCCGCCGTAACAGAAATCGAGGCTCGTTTAAAAAAATTCCTGGCTGTAACACATATTTAATTGCAAGAATTATCGTGCGTGCGTCGCGCTGCACGACGTTAATTGTAATGCGTAGCGAACAACGTTGACAGCGGATCCGTGCAACTGCGATTCGAAAAGATATTTACCGTGGCCTGAGTGTTTTTATTCCTACGATCCTCTGCGAGAACTTCATTAAACGAATGTAATCACTATCAGCATCAAGTCGTCGAACTACTCACGCAATTGCGAGTTTAATTAAGCGTAATTACTGGTCGCAGACATCCTGTCAATCTTTTTCAAACACACATTCTTATCGTCACACCTTCCAATTGTTAGTACGTAGAAGAAGTATCAACTGTTCAGACATCGCAAGCCTGGAATACTCGCGGAAACTTCTAATTGTTTGGAACGTCATGCGTGGCTGTGCGGCGGACACGAAACATCTTCATTAAAGGACAGGGGCTTGGAAAGGATAATTAAAAGTTTCACGGAGGGAGAGAAGCTTGCACAGCTCGGAAGCGAGAGGATGTTGCGCGAACGGGTCACCCTGGATTTCCCTGTTATTTGCTCCACGAAATTGCCCCGTCTGTCTGTGTTGTTCCGATCCCGCGCGAGGCGCTTCCTACCCTCTTTCGTTGAATTTCGTTGTTCGGGGAACCTTGGCTCTCGGTTGATCCGCGTCCTGAAACGTTAATTACGGTTGTCTGAGACCGCGACAAAGTCGCCGAAAGTTTGCGAGCCACGGCGGACGAATGAAGCACACAGCCGGAAAGTACTTTGATTTTATCAACACGTGAATTCGTTACGCACGCAATTAACGGAGTCGTGCTTTTCATATACTTACCGGTTTCTTTGATACTACTGAAAATGTTGGACTTGAAGCTTTTTGCAAGACTGTTGGTCGAGGGTCTGCTTCTTAGACGAGATTGAGGGTTCTCATTACGCTAGTGGTACCGGTAATACTTACGTCCATATTAATGTAAAATAAAGTCCAGTGATGTAGAAGTTCAAAGAGGAATGAAAGAATATGATTCGCAAATATCCAGCATTACGTTCATTTCAATCGAGGGTGAAAAATTTATAGAAGAAGTTACAGACACTTCGAACGAAGAAGATCTAAAACTGTTGTGCGTTACCAACTTCGAACGAGTTTGTAAGCGCGGTAAAGTTTTTGCAAGTTTCTCGAAAACAATCTTATTTCAACGAAGAAGCTGGTCGCATTAATTATTTCACTGTTCATTATTTTTGCAAAGAGAGGTACATATCATGGTTACAAAGAAGCTGCTTCGTCGTGCTTTTATCATTAAAAGACGTTAACAACATGTACATATTGTGACTAATGATACTAATAATTAATCCTTTTCTCTTTCCAGACATGTCCTACAAGCCCCAGCGTCCCATTATCGAGGGTGAGTCCACATTTCATTTTCTAGAACAAAATATTTCTTAGAAATTTACATCTCTTGCTTTCATTCTCGTCTTAGGCAAAAAATATTTATTGCATTTTTCTTGTAACTCCAGTATTTAACAAGTTAAGTATCAATGATCGGCATTTATTGCCTTCGACAAAATCTCGATAAGATCTTTTTTCTCAAAATTTCGAAAAATGCTTCAAGTAAAAGTTGTAGGTACTGTTATTACCTACAAGAAAGCTCGTATACGATTTTTTTCTATCTCGAGCATTTCAGGACTACTTGATTAATTATTTTGTCTATCGTTAAATATTTCTTAACGAGTGGAGTTAGAAGGAAATTACATAGGATGTTTTTCGTATCTGACAATTACAGCTACATTGTGTATGTCTATACCTATACTTTCAAATCTATTAACATTCGCAAATTGAAATCTGTTTTGCATATTACTAATTACACGAGTAAGTAATTTTCACAAGCTTTAAACTTTTGTGCTGCAGTCTACGTACATGTCTCGCAGCCTCTAAAGTCCATGTGACATAAAATTAATACCTTTCATGTCCTGGAAAATTAGTAGTATCAGTAGAAAGTATTGGAATGAATCGTGGTCGAACATGAAAAGCGTTAAGCTGGCTTTAAAATTGGAGAAAAAAAGACCCGTAAACGGCGTGGCAATCATTTTATGATAGTTTGCCAGACAACGTAAATTAGCTGGCACGCGATATTTAAAAGCGAATTATACCCCGCGAGATTTAACGGACACGAGGGATTCGCGTCTTTCAAGCTGGATTACGTCTCTATTATACATCGGCGCAACACGGGGCATCGCCGCGCGCCGGTGAATTTCAGAATTGCACCGTTCGTTTCGTACTTGAACGATCACGCTATCGCATCCTAGCCGCGCTGACAAGCTCGCTTCGTCGAACGAAGCACCGCTGTTGGAAGTTATTTTTCTCGGGCCGCGGCTCCGCCACCGCGGGACTGGTAATTTTTCAGTAGTCTAGGCGCGGCAATGGTCAGACATAAATAGTCGGAATTACCCAGGGCGTAATGCCGTTTGGAGGATCGCGAAATTATTGCGCCGTTGCGTGAATTGCCGTAAAATGCGTTTACTTTTAAACGTTCTCTGCCTACCCTCTTTTTTATCTCCTTTTGTTTCGCGGGAACGGAAATTTCCTGTGAATATTTATTGCGGGCGACAGAGTTTCCCAGCGTTCGAAGTGTTATTGCTGTGTCGCGGCCGCTATAAATTCGCTCGGATACTTTTTTCCATTGTTCACAAAAGTAGCGTAGCTCCCGAACAAATGTAACAAATGTTCGTCCGGGACTTTACATGACTTTACAAAATAATTCCTCGGGACCGTGAACATTTAAACATGATTAGTATCCCAATGATTCACACGCGCTTTTTCTTTTTCTCTGTTCATAAATCAGGATCGCCGTAATTCGATAGTCCGACCGTGCGCATTTTTACGCAGCCGGGGATATTATTTATCGCATTTATTCGATGCTCGATCCTGATCATTATCTTTCGGAACCCTGAAAAGGTGCGCACTTTTATGAAACGCCGCGATACAAATCATCCTGTCAAACGCGTTATGCAAGGGTTCTTTTTCAAAGCTCCCCACGCGTTTCGCCTATTGTTGCGCGCAGCTATCTGAACGTACATTATCGGCACACTTTGTGCGAGATTTTTGTTCGTAATGCTTGCATTTCCTGGTCATTGTAACGAGCAGATCCATGCGCATAGCAGGTATTCATGCATCGTCGACGCATGATGCATGATTTCTCGATATATTTAAATGCTTGAGTAAATACTGACTAATATAATTGAACAGATAAATATATGAGAAATTATTATTAGAAACATCGTATCATTTTTAAGATTATCGTAACTTGTATTAAAAAGATAAAGCAGGAGTTCATAATAGTCTGATTTCGCCACGCTGCAGATACATAATTCGAGGAATTCGAGATAGCAGTAACAGAGACTGCCGTGAAACGTCGTAGCATCGTATCGCATTAACAAGCGTAGGAATTACCTCGGCTCGTTTCTCGAGGAGCACGGTGGGGCGGCGAGTCGTGTGAAATTTGTACCGCGGCGAATACGCGTCGATTATCAATTATTGGGGAAGTTGGTCGCGCGCGCAAAGGACGAGGCGGACGTTAGGCAGAGTTATACCATTATTTGAATAGTTCACTGATACGATCGTTTCGGCAATGCGCACTGCGGATATCCGAAGTTTCAACATCAGGATATTGAATATGGTTCGGGCAGGAAATTGGGAATATTCTGGATACTTCGGTGGCCGTTACTTCGAGCAACGTTAGATGTTTCGATGACAACAGCCCCGCCGGTCCGCCCAGCCAATTAGTTTTGAATTCCGCGTAAATCAGCCGCGAATGACTATGTACGCGGTGGAATAATTGGGAACGGGTCGCGTCTCGGCTAGACGTTACGCCACGTAGCGATTCGTCGCGATATCCCGTCAAATTCATGCGCTCCAGCTGGCTGATTAGTCGACTGAATAGATGGAACCAGAAAGGGAATATAGGAGCAAAGGACACGCTATTATACGTTCTAGTAAATACAACAGCGGTACTAAATTGTATATTAACTTCGGAGAAATGTAACAGCTCCTCTTCTATTTACACTGGATCTTTTGCATATTTAAAGTAAACTAGTAAATAACAATCGTCGTTTCATATATTCATTTTACGTAAATTACTGTATTCAAATCGAGTTACAAGAATTAGTTTAAATACTTGTTTATATGTTCGTTTTCCACCTGAAAGCGTTTTATGTATGTGCATGAATTTAACACAATTAGTGAAATCATAAATTACGCATAAATGTTTGTGAACAACCGTGTACGTACGGGAGATATGGAATTAACTGAAGAACCCTTGAGAATGAAATTTCCGCCAAGAGCATTATCTAAATATAGAATCAGTTAGGTGCGCATGAATTCTCTTACTCGCGTTTTCGTGCATCGATGTAACATCCGGCATCCACCGCGTTCAAGTATTTGCACAGAATCATTCAAACGGATCCAAAAGCCTTGACGTTTTCGAGGCTTTTGCCGACGAGAGCGAAAGACCGCGAACGTTCCTTGGGTTCGGCCGTCTTTGTTAAGCGTGAAGACCAGCCAACGACACTGACGGTCTCATCGGCAAATTTATTCCATTTACGAACAGCGTAGTATAATTTTTATCGGGTCTCGTCCTCGTTCTCCCGGTCTTCTATTCCCCGGTTTCGCGAGGGGATAAGAAACTCCACGTAATTCGAATAAATAATACAGCATGCTAACGAAGGCTCGCTCATTCTCCCTTTGCCTTTGCTCCTCTTGAAACAATATTCCGTCGACTTTATTCACGGCACACGTAGCCTTGTACAGGGATCGTTTCGCTCTAACTCAGTTACCCACGGCCTTTCCCCTCCCAAATGTATTCACGGTATCGGTTCTCGAAACTTAATTGAACAAAGGAATTCTTATGGCCGCGAGAAGAGTATGCTGAATGAACGGGGCATGGGTTAAGAGGTTTCGGAATCGTCGGCGAAGTGGTGGGCTACTTTGAAAGTTTTTTTTATGAGGTAGAATTATTTTCTCCGATGAGATAAAGCACAGGAATCGATCGAGTTCAGCCAACCGAAAATTAGACGCTGTGCTTCCTAAATAGAAGCTTGGATTAAACTTTCATATCATATACGATACATCTTCATCTTTGTATAACAGAATAGTCTTTTTATATCAAAGCATGTACGGCGAGGATAAATATTCTGTGCTGTGTTAAATCCTCACTGAGGAGGTTTGCTAAGAACATGAAGAATTCAAGCGGTATTGAATTATATATGCTCAGACTTACAATTAATCGTTTCGTCGACAGTTTCAATAACATTTTAAGTGAATCTTATTTTGGTTGTTTGAATTATTTTATTTATTTATTTATTTATTTATTTTATAAGTTGAATATAAATTGTTACTAAAAGCTGTCTGATCATACGGATCGAACAATCGGGATGGAAATATGTACAAACCTTTTTACATCGATTTGATGGGTCATGCCATTGCGTGAGACGTCTGTTTAATACAACGAAATACATCGCGGAAAGTCGAGTATCGTGACGATTGTGCACATGAGCACACAATTTCGTTCTCTCTCTCTCTCTCTCTCTGATGAGTGCATCGCAGCGCGATACGTATCACTGTCACTCAAATCGGTTGCATCTACGGTGAGTCGTGCGTATCTGCAATCTCGCGACGCGTTCTATTTCCACAGACTATCGTTTCGCAATTAAGTTCTAAATCGCGCTAATTATTTATTCCGAGGTTGTTTGCCTCTGAAGCGCACCTTATCGCAGCTTCATGTTTCGTTAATGTACATGTATGAGATAGATACCGTGACGAGCTCCATGCAAATAAAGTCATAGGGTTGATGAATTTTCAAAGAGAATCGTAATAAACGCAATTACATATCTTTTACCTTCTCTGTAATATCAATGAAATTCTTCAAAAATTGTCGTGATATACGCTTGAAATTACGTACTCTCATCGTAAATTAAATCTTCAATCGTCGTTCGTATGAAATTGCTTTCTAAAGTCTCCGATGTGGAAATATAATTATGTAATGACTTTCCTTTGAAGGTATCTTTCCCTCGCTGATAAATATAAAGCAACGGTTGTAATCAGACCCTTGCACTGATGATGACTCATATTTATCAGGTATCACGAACGAAACAGTGACAAGAAAATACAGTTCACTTATGCTTTATGGCAGGATTGAAAAAGGAATTTTCTTCTGGATAGAACAGGGCTGGACGATCCGCGATACCATAGGGATTGCCGAGTGAAAATAAGTAAAATAAAAATTCGGCCAAATATATTCTACAACGGCGTGCAATTAGTATAAATCGTTGCGCATCCTTGTGTTCCGTTTCCCTTACCACCTAGCCCTGCATGGTGGTGCGAATGCGAGTAAGGCACCGAGAGAGAGTG